GTGTGTGTGTGTGTGAGAGAGTCAGTGTGTGTGTGTGAGTGTGTGTGTACTCTCACATGTCCACGAGAGACATGATGAGTGAGAGATGATTGTGATGAATTACATGATGACAGAACGATGAAAGTGAAAATGAAAATTGAGAAATTGAATTTGATCGAAAGAAAGAACCAGAGAGTGAGAAAGAGGATGAACACGAGGTAGTTATTATATAAATTATGCTAAAAATACACCAAGAATTATCATCTTTTTGAAGAGTTTCTTTCTCGATGTCTGAAGTACAAAGAGTGGCTCCAGAATGTAAAGTTTAAAACGGCTTCGTCGTGTGTTTCTGAGAGTTTTAAGCTGTTGTCGTTCTGAAGCTGAAGCGAGAAGGAGACGCTGGTGTGAGCAGAGTTAACACACAGATTAGGTTTCAGTGACGGTGGAGGTCACATGTGTATGCATCAGAGTGTGAATACATGAATGAACCGGAGTCAGAGAGAAAGGAAACTAGAGCAGTTAGAGTTACAAACATCTCATTTAGGAGGTGATGAAGCTCCTCTCATGAGTGAGAAGTTAAAACCACAGGATTACAGAAGAGACACCGGGCTGCACCACCTCCTCCGTCAGGTGGATCCCGGCCTCTTTAATCCATGCCCTGGGGCCCGCGGTGCTGAGTCAGGCTCTGCAGACGCAACAACTCAGCGGCTGACACTCGACCAACACTTACGGAGGTTTATAATGTCCCTCTGAGCTCAGTGTGTGTGTCCCTCCTCGGGCCTCTCGTTTCCCGCATCCTCGCCGCGTCACTTGCTGCCGAACGGTGATCATCTGAAACAGACCCGAACCGCTCTGATGACGCATGACGCGACTCATCTTAATGAGCAATTAACAGCCTGATTCTCCATCCTGTGAATCCAAGGTCAGTCCTGTGTGGAGCCGGTGTGAAGGAAGAGGAGGAGGAAGAGACGGGATCTGGTTGCATTGTGACGTAAACAGGAGCTGACAGCCAAGTCTCCCTCAGGGTTACGGCTCTGAAACGAGCTTTCTGAGGGGAAATTAGATTTTGGCCTCAACATTTTGAAACCAGATAAACCAGATAAACGGCTGTAACGTCTAATAAAGCAAACATGGAACACGGCGGGTGAGCATGAGAGACATTTGGATTCTCTAATAAGGCTGATAATACGCTTAAAAAGTCATATGAGCTTCATAGGACGAGCAAGATCTTGTTTTATGCAAGAGGGGAAGAGGTCAGTAGACCTGTGATTTATTCATTTGTTATGATAATCTGTGAAAGTTAAGTTATCTCTCTGGGCTCCAAATAACAAGCTGACTATAAATACAAGACGTCCGTCCATCTACATGTCTGTGTGTCGTCGCATATCTCACAAACAGTTCGTCCGATCTACTTCAAACTCGGTGGGTGTACAG